GGCAGTGGGTATGAGGTATTTTCGGTTATACTGTTAAGAGCCCTGAAGTCCACACAGCAACTTTGGGTCACATCCTTCTTCTGGACAAATATGACTGGAACTGACCAGGGACTATCTGATTTCTCGACTATCCCTTCCTTAATTAGACCATTCATGACCTTCTCTATCTCTTGTCGCTTTGCTGGAGTTATTCTCCTCGGAGGGATCTTTATTGGACGGTGATTGCCCGTGTTTATTCTGTGCACTACAAGGTTTGTGCAGCCGAGGTCATGATCTCCATTCGAAAAGACGTCTGCATAATTTGCCAAAAGTTCTTTTACCTGAAGAGCCTGTGATGATGCCAAATGGGCTATCATTTTCTTATAGAGGTCAGTCAAATGTTCTGGAAGTGTATGTCCTTTCTTTACAGTTGTATTTCTTGCTTTAACATTGACTGGCTCTACCTACTGGCACACACCAAACAATGCCCCTTCCTTAAGTGTCTGTTCACATTTAGAGAAATTGGCCACTGTTATAGGTACTACTTGATGACCTGCAACAAGCGACCTTCCAAGCTTCAAATTCGCTGGCCTGGATGGGTCTTTCACTGCTTCCACAAGCATTGGGCTTCCATGGGGATGTTCTTTTATCCTACCCAAAATTATCTTCTCTGAAAAAAGGGCTATTAGTTGATTTAAGTGCTGTGACATGCAGATCAATGGATGTAGCAACACTTACTGGAATCTGGCCTTTGTTGTTTCCTATCGTGATTTTATCGAAGTTAACTACACACTTCCTCGGTAGTAGATAGTCCAATCCTAATATGCATTGGTCTTCAATGTCAGCCAAGTATACTTTCTGTCTGTTCTTCATGCCCATGAGCTCAATAGTTACCCACACTGGTCCCCACAACCTTGCATAATGTCCTGTCACACCACAGAGCTTCTGTACAGCTTCTGGTACTCCTTTGTGATTCAACACCTTGATGCTCACAAGGGTTTGCTGAGACGCAGAATCTATGACAAAGTTGCACCTTCCCTGTCACGTAAACACTATGTGTGCTTGCCATTTTACACTTAGCTGTTGGGACTTTGATGATGGGGGTTGGTGGGCGTCCCTCAGCACCAACCACTACTGGTTTCCCGAAGCTGGCTTATTGGTGGTTTCTTCTTGCACTGACTCCTCATATGTCCTTGCTCTCCACAGTTCCAACAACCTTTCTGGG